TCCATGTGCTTATTGGTCCAGTTCTAAGGACTGAAATTTTTTAAATCTTAAAATCAATGTATGTATATACGTATCTGCCATACATTTAATTTTCATCGGTAAATGCTTCAAGCCCTTTTGACTTTCAACAAGCCTGGTGATGTCACCTGCAACGAGCCTTCCTCCAGTCCTGATGCACATTCTTCCTGAAATAGTCCAGTTTCTCACCTTCTTTGCCAGTAAGTGGACAGACCGGCACATATGGCGGTACCTGTAGAGACAGCAAATAAAATGAGGGCTTCTTGGGGTACAGTCGACAAGTGAGTTGTTGAGAAAAAGTGATTCCCAGTGAATGTGTTGTTGGTCTTGCAGCGCTCTCCTGCGGTGTCTAGTATAATTTCTCGCACCAAGGCAAGGCTGCCTTTGCATCCACTGCTCCTTCTCCTGCTTCCAACTGTCGCATCCGATCACCATGAATTCCACCCTGGTGCATCGGGCTTGCGTGCTCGATTGACATCGGACTGCAGAATTCAGCAAAGATCGTTCACGTCTTCCTCTTTGGTACTATGCTTGTGTGTAAGCGTGGGTCACAGACATGGTCACGGGTCTTCCTTCCAGGCTGTGCCCGGCACTGACAGCACAGTCCTGTGCGCGAGGGCTGCCACCTTCTTTATGCTGACCGCACCTCTATTCCTCGTCACGTTGTCAGTCCTCCTGGCCAAGACCGGGCCTAGGACGTCAATTTAGACCATACCCGTGAAAAAAACGGCAACCCCAGCCTCGTGAATAAACGTCAACCCGAGCATCCAAGTCGTTTTATTGCTGGCTGCCAGCGAAAACCAAAGTCCCTAGCCTGGGGGAATTAACCGAAAAGGAGCTAGCATTCCAAAAAAGGCCCTCATGGGGGTAGCTAGAGCCGCTGGCATCTGCCTCGGGAGTCTTCAGGGCTTGTCCACAAGGAAATCAGACTTCCCCGACGTGACAGTTCACCGGCTTCAAGCCCTTCTCCCCAGGCACCTCCTCCTCCCAAGTCACCGAAAGAGCCTGCCATCCCACCATCAGGAGCCAGGCCCACCCTGTTATCAGCACCTGCTGAAGTCTGCCCCGTCCCCACACGCAGGCCTCCCTGGCATTTGGTGTATCCTTCCCCGGGGAAGGTGGCGTGGAGATCTGATCCAGATCCGTCTCAAGCAACCAAAATCGAGGCTCCTAATTCTCCTTAAGAAGTCATGCATGCCCTTCACCCACGTGTGCCTTGAACTCGGCCTTGACCTGGCAGAGGACACCAGATACTCTCTGTAAACAAACTCCAGAGTCGGGCAACATGAGCCGCCAGGAAGACCAAAGCCGGTGGGAGGCGGGGCCAAGATCCTGGACAGCCCTCCGGGGGCCCCCAAGGGCTGCTCAGGCCCCTACCCACCCCAGGCCTCAGCCTCCCAAGTTTTGAGGGAACGGGGACAGCCTTTGGTAGAAAAGAAGGAAGCTCAGTTCTTAGGGTCCAGGCGCTGCTGCTCCCCCTGAGGAGAGGGAAAGAGCGGTCTAGAGGAGAGGGACTGGAGTGTCCAGCCGACTTTGGCGCTGGACGCTCTTGCCCACCCAGCTCTCAGTCCCGCTCCTGCCTCTCCTCTCAGACGAATGGTGGGCCCTGTGGACTCCTT